GATCGAATTCCCATCCCTGCATCTGCCTAGGCTTTAGTCCTCTGAGCTACCTGGCCAGCCCTCCTGTAGTCATCTTTTCAATCTGGAGAGTTTATGTGAACTTACATGTGCTGCACATACTCTTTGACAGGACATTGGAAGAAAACCAGATGCAGTGGTTAGAAGAAAAGCACAAGCTTCATGAGCGTGTCACCGACAGAGAAGAAAAGTACAATCAGGCTAAAGAGAAACTACGTCGAGCTGCAACTGCCCAGAAAAAGGCAAGAGATTCTTACCAAAATGATTTCTGTAGATGAAAACATATTTTAGGAGGATAGTGCAATATGTAAGTGAAGCTAAGAGTTTAATGACATGTTTACTTTGATAGGTAAGCATTGTACCTTATTGTGAGTGTTGCAGAGCTAAGTTGGGAAATCCAGGCCGTCCAACAGGTTAATTTTTAAGTTTTGTTTAGAGTACACATGCGTTGTTCCAAGAGATGACTTTTCTTAGAGTAATTTGAGATTTCCAGGTAGACACACACACGTCTTATTCTTCGCTTACGTCCTAGTATGACTAGGTCTGTGTCCATTTTGTCTAAGACCTGCAATATTGTTTTTGTAGTTAAAAGGCTGCTTTGTTTCCATCTCAAATGCAGCAAGTGTCTCCTTGTCTCAGCAGCAAGACTTGGGAATCTCCCTGGTTTCAGAAGCAGCCATGATGGTTTCCACCTCAGTCTTTTCCAAGTGGTGCCCCTGCAGCATATGCTTGTCTAGAACCTAGAAGCTTTGTTTTCTTTGAAACAGTCCTGAGTATTGTGGAAATTGTGGACAGATGATTCATGGATGTCAGTGGTTCACTTTTTTTTTTAGCTTCAACAAAGTCAGCAATGTAGCAGATCCTGTCAGAAACACAATGCTTGTAGTAACTCAGCAGTCCCTTTTAACAGAATTAAAGTAGGGGCCGGGTGTGAGAGTATCTGCTGAGTTTTGTTCTTATGGCACTAGTTGTAAGGAGGAGGAGAAAGGATCCGAGAAGAGAGGACAGGGAGTTGCTCCAAGTTGTAGGCACTCATGCCTTAGGGTCTGTGAGTTTATTATTCACATTTGCCTAAGAAAAATAACTCCAGATTATTTGCATGTACTATGTCATTTTATGTTACTGGATATAACCAGCAAATGTGACTGACAGCACTAGCATGAATAGTCTAAAAGTCATTAATTCTCTACTTTCCTGGCATATATTACTTTTCTCATCTTAATGCTAAAACTAACATAATATTTAGATTAGAAAAACAACACTTGGTATATGGAATCCTAGTGTTTTATATTCAAATATAAGCACTTAATTGTTTTTTTCCTGTATAGGTCGCATTCCTATCTGTCCATATCAATGCTGGAAAGCGTGAGTGTCCCTAGGATGTCTGTGAATTCTTTGGGTGTGTGATGGATGATCCTGTTTATGCTCCCTTGTACTGTTCGAAGCCTAGGAGCATGTAAAGTCATTTTCAGACAGAAATTATGAGAGCTGATTTTTATCTACTACAGATAAACTTTCTTTTTAAAATGCATTTAGTAGAGGGTCTCACTACATAGATTGGACTTGTAGTGATCCCTCCTGTTTTCAGCCTCCCAAGAGCTGAGATAACAGGTGTGCGCCACCATGCCCAGTCTTAATCACAGTCTCAGCATGCCCTGGGGTCAGGGCTGGCACGGCACTCCAGGATCAAACCCAGGCCCCTGCGTCTGCCTAAGCAGGTGTTTTAAGCCAGCCTTCTACAGATAAACTTTTTTTTTTTTTTTT